CTTGGTGTTTTTTTGTTGAAACAAAAGAGTGAAGTTTTTGAGATTATTAAGAATTGGGTGGCATATGTGAAGAGACAATTTGGAGTAGGAGTAAAGGCTCTCCAAACTGACAGAGGAGGAGAGTTTACCTCACATAGTTTAGAAAATTTTCTGAAGAAAGAGGGGATAAAGCACAGACTCACATGTGCTTATCAAAGTGCAGAAAATGGAAAGATAGAAAGACTAGTAAGAAAAGTTCAAACTGTGAAAGATTCTTTGTTAGAAGATTCTGGATTATCTCAAAATCTATGGGGAGAAGCAGTAATGACTGCATGTTATTTAATTAATAGACTCTGGTGTGAGCCTATTCAGAACACTCCTTATTTTATGTTATATGGCAAGAAGCCTCCGTTAGGGCATTTAAGGAATTTTGGGACACAGGCATGGGTGTTCATACCCAAACCATTGAGAAGGAAAGGCCAAGATAAAGCCAGGAGATTAACAATGGTTGGCTATGCACAGGGAGCCAAAGCTTGGCGGTTTTTAGATAATGAAGGAAACATTGTTATATCAAGATCTGCTAACTTTGCCTGTAGCCAGAATTGGGATAAGATTCATGCTAATCAGGAAGTTTTCTTTCCTATTTCAAAAGAGGAAACTCATGAGCAAGGTAGACAAAACACAAAGCAAGAAAGTGCTGCTACACCTCAACTCATAAGTAAGCCTATAATTAGAAAATTTAAGAGGCCTAGGCCCTCAGATGAGGATGATGAGGTGAATGAAGATCCTGGAGAGGGAACTAGTCAGGAAATTTTACTCAGAAGAAGTGAGAGAACCAGAAAGAAACCTGACAGGTTCACAATACAAAATGTAAGAGTATGTTTAGTTAATTATGAGCCTCAAAGTTTTGAGGAAATAGAAAGTTTGCCACAAGAAGAGAAAGAAAAATGGTTAGAGGCTATAGATGAAGAGATGAAAAGCATGAAAAGGTTAAATGTGTATGAACCTGCAGATTTACCAAGAGGGAGTAATCCTATTGACACAAAATGGATTTTTAAGCAAAAGATTGATGCTAATGGTCAAGTAAGGTACAAAGCGTGTCTTGTTGCTAGAGGGTTTACACAGATTAGGGACATAGATTACACAGAGGTGTATTCGCCCACTGTTAGTCCTAATTCTGTAAGATTGATTTTAACTCTTGCAGCATGTTTGAATTTAAAGGTATATCATTTTGACATAAGTACAGCATATCTGAATGCTACTCTAAAGGAGAATATATATATTGTACCTCCACCAGGTTCAAAGTACAGAGATACCAATACATATTTTAAGCTGAATCGCGCCTTATACGGACTGAAACAGGCCGGGCTTGTCTCGAATGATTGTTTAAATGATGTTTTGACCAAAATGAGTTTCCAGAGAAGCAGAGCAGATCCATGCATGTATGTAAGAAATGTACAACATGATTATCAAGTATTGTTTGTGTATGTTGATGATGTATCATTTTTGGCTGAAACTCAAACAGAAATTGACAAGTTTGCAGAAGAGTTAGGAAAACATTTTAAGTTAAGAAACCTTGGTCCAATTCAATATTTTCTTGGCGTACAAATTATGAAAACTGAACAAGGTTTTGTGTTAAGTCAAAAAGGGAAGATAATGCAGATTTTGGAAAAATTAAACATGAAAGAGTGTAAAGGAGTTAAATCACCCATGATTTTAGGTTTTCAAAACGAAGTGGAAAATGCTGAAATATTTGAAGAGAAAGCCTTATACAAGAGCATTATTGGTCAGTTATTGTACATATGTAATTACACCAGAGCAGACATTGCATTTGCTGTGAATTTTCTAAGCAGATATGCAAGCAACCCAACCATTGCTGCATGGAATGGACTTAAGAGGGTGGCAAGATATTTAAAGCAAACACAAGATTTTTGTTTGGCATTAAGTCCAGATGACTCGCTATCCTTGCAGGTATATACAGACAGTGATTTCGGCAACTGTACTGATAGGAAATCGACAACAGGAGTTTCAATTAAGTTTTCTAATGCTGTAATTGACTGGAAGTCAAAGAAGCAGAGTTATGTAGCTTTAAGTTCCAGTGAGGCTGAGTTTGGTGCACTTAGCTTAGCATATACAGAGATTTGTGTAATCAAACAACTGCTTAAAGACTTGCAAATACCTGTTGAAGATCCAACAACAATATATGAGGATAATCAGACATGCATCACAATGGCAACACAGGCCAGAGTAAAACAAAGAAGCAAGCATGTAGATATTAAGTACAGTTGTGTAAGGGATGCAGTGAAAAATGGTGAAATTGATATAGTATATTGTAATACAAATCTAAATCTAGCTGATGTACTAACTAAGCCACTGAGTGTACAAAAACATCAGAATGTTTTGAATGATTTGGGAATTTTTGAGTGTACCATGTAATTGTATTATGTATTGTGTTTTCCTCTACACACAAGGAGGAGTGTTACAGTATATGATTTTGTAAGTCTTGACAAGAATCATCTCTTGCTTATATGTGTGTGTTGAGGAAGAACCACTCCCTGATTAGGATGTATATCAGGTGAAGTTTTCTTGATGCAGGTAGTGAGTGAAATGAAGTAATCAGAGATGGAACTACACTACAAGGTTTGCTGGAAAGAAGCAGATTAATGCATTGTTTTGTAAGTGTTTTTTCTTCTGCGATGGACAATGATGGACAATGTGTTTTCAAGGCTACTGTATTTTTCTTTATAAAGCTGCATGTGTCAATTACTCAAGAGTAAAGATTATTTTTCTTTTATACTCTGTGTAATTTCAACTTGGTGCCTGGAGCTGGGAAGACTACTGTGTATTTTCAATATAAACTAACAAACCGCAACAGGCTTGGCCTCATGTAAGCCGCACCGAGTCCCTTGGGGAGATGGTAGCGGGGTACAAATAAAGTATTATCATCATCATCATCATCATCATCTTGGGCCAACACAGTATGTTTTAAGACAAAACGGTTAAATAGATGCATTTTCCTGTTCAGTTTAATAATCAAATTACAAACTGCAAAGTTGTATATTTGAATTCTGTTGTGAAAAGGGCACCACTGAAATATCACAGGCCCAAGTGACCTGGCAGCACTTTCTCTCCAAGCAGTTGCTGTTGCCTTCAAGTCATTTCAGACTTACCATATATGCTTGAGCAGGGGCGGCTCATCCATTACGCAAAGTAAGCGGTCGCAGTACACTTTTTTTGCCAGCGGCGCAGAGGCGCCTCTGTAAATGCCCCTCGACCACCACTTGAGGAGCGCCCCCTCGGCTCACAACAGCCCTAGCAGTCCGGGGGAAGCCTCAGCAACCTATTACGCAAAGTAAGCATTTGCAGTATAGTTGATTGTGCCCAGGGGCACTCTTGAGGCGCTCTTGGGGGAAAATAGACCTTGACATATGCAAGTTGTAGTTACTGGGATGTATAGTTCACCTACAATCAAAGAGCATTCTGAACTCCACCAATGATGGAATTGAACCAAATATGGCACACAGTACTCCCATGACAAACAGAAAATGTAGATCAATAATTGGTTGGGGTGTGTGTGCGCGTGCCAAAATGCTGATTGCTTACCATTGAAAATTACCTATACTCTGTGCTCGGGTATAAGCCGACCCAAATATAAGCCGGGGCACCTAATTTACCACAAAAAACTGGGAAAACGTATTGACTCGAATGTAAGCCGAGTGTGGGAAATTCAGCAGCTACTGGTACATTTCAAAATAAAAATAGATACCAATAAAATTACATTAATCAATGCCTCAGTATGTTAAATGTTTTTGAATATTTACATAAAACTATAATTTAAAATAAGATTGTCCAACTCTGATTAAACCATTATTCTAACCTTCCTCAATATAATTGTGCTTATGTATCATTCCAATAATCACGATAGTTTATTTTGACTATACATTTTGGGGGAAATGCTGTGTGTATATGAATAAGGAAATGTGGGACAGACTGGCACCGAGAGAGGAGGAGAGGAAGGTGTGCGCTGCGCGAGAAAGAGGGAGTGGAAGGTGCGCGCTGTGCAAGAGAGGAGGAAACGAAGGAGAGCTGGGTTGCTGTCTGGAGAGGTGAAGGTCCTGGTAGGAAGGTGTGGGGCTGAAAAAAGTCCTTCTTTCAAACTTATGCCTACCTGCCAGGACCCTCATCTGAGTATAAGCCAAGGGGGGCTTTTTCAGCCTAAAAAAGGGCTGAAAAACTAGGTTTATACTTGAGTGGAAGGTGTGCGCTGTGTGAGAAAGGAGGAGTGGAAGGTGCGTGCTGCATGAGAAAAGAGGAGTGGAAGGTGCGCGCTGCACAAGAGAGGAGGAAACGAAGGAGAGCTGGGTGAGGGTCCTGGCAGGAAGGCGTGGGGCTGAAAAAAGCCCTTCTTTCAGACTTGCGCCTATCCACCGAAACCCTCACCTGAGTATAAGCCAAGGGGTGCTTTTTCAGCCTAAAAAAGGGCTGAAGAACTAGGTTTATACTCGACTGGAAGGTGCTTGCTGCACGAAAATGGAGGAGTGGGAGTGGGAGGTATGCGCTGCACGAGAAAGGAGGAAATGAAGGAGAGCTGGGTTGCTGTCTGGAGAGGTGAGGGTCCTGGCTGGAAGATGTGGGGCTGAAAGAAGCCCTTCTTTCAGACCCACGCTTTCCCGACAGAACCCTCACCCAAGTATAAGCCGAGGGGTGCTTTTTCAGCCTAAAAAAGGGCTGGAGAACTAGGTTTATACTCAAGTACTGTATATATCCTAAGACATTATGAGGTTTCCTTGACAAGATTTGTTCAGGAGAGTTTGTCCTTGCGTTTATCTAAAGCGGAGAAAATGCCACTTTCCCAGGGTCATCATTTCCAAGGTAAAGTGGAGATTTGAATCCTGTTTCCCCAGCGCTGTAGTCTGTTCAGTAAAAAGAACCTACATTATGTTTTTTTTTCTTTCCGGAAAGCCACCCCCTCCCCCAAACACACATCTGAACTAGAACCTTGTGTCTTGATTCTCTTCTAGGTGCTGACAGGCGAGGTCCAGCAAGGATCAGAAACAACTCCGAGTCAGCCAGGCCCCCCCCAAATGTAGACCGGAGGCGACAACTCTCTGAATCCCAGGCAGACACCGCGAGCAACTCTGACGGCAGAATGAACCTCCGACAGCAGGGGACTCCGAAAGGTATGGAACTGGGAGGTTGATTTATTTATTTACGTCACTTGTATACCACTTTTCTCAGGAGGGAGGGTGGAACGGGGACTCAAAGCGGTTTCCAACATATTTTTGGCAAAAATTCAATGCCTCATATATATATGTATGTATGTATGTATGTATGTATGTATGTATGTATGAGATATAACACAAACCAACAATACAATATCATATAACTATCATATTAAATCATAAAAATGTAAATAACATGTAGACATTAAAACATTTAGACATTAATACAAACGTTAAAATGATATGATCCAAAAATCTTGGTCCAAGGCTGTTCCAAATATCAATTGTATATAAACTCTGATTATTCCTTGTATGGCTTACTGCCCAAAGGCTTGGTCCCATAGTCAAGTTTTTACTTCTTTTCAGAAGGCCAGGAGGGAGGGTGCTGATTTAATTTCGTTGGGGAGGGAATTCCATATTTGAGCCACCACTGAGAAGGCCCTGTCTTTCATCCAGTTGCACCTGTGAGGGAGGTGGGAGCAGGACCTCCCCAGATGATCTTAACCTCCGGGATGCTTCATAGATGATCTAATTACTGATCTGCTAGAATAAAATAGGTACAGATGCCAGAAATTGACCTTTGTGGAGAGGTCTCTCGTGTCCCACTGCAGCTGGCAGATGGTAATTTTGTCAGCGCCGATTGTGTTTAAGTGCAGGCCAAGGTCTTTAGGCACAGCACCCAGTGTGCCAATCACCACTGGGACCACCTTGACTGGCTTGTGCCAGAGTCTTTGCAGTTCGATCTTTAAAACCTCATATCATGTCAGCTTTTCCTGTTGTTTCTCTGCAATCCTGCACCTGGGATTGCTGTCACTTGGGACTGGGACATCGACAATCAATACTTTGTATTTTAACACGATTGTGAGGTCAGGAGTATTGTGCTCCAGAACTCTGTCTGTCTGAATTCGGAAGTCCCAGAGGAGTTTGGCATGTTTATTCTCTGTAACTTTTTCCAGTTTGTGATCCCACCAGTTCTTTGTCGCAGGCAGATGGTATTTGTGACACAAGTTCCAATGCATCATCTGAGCAACGGTGTTGTGCCTCTGCTTGGAGTCTGTCTGTGCGATCTTCTTCCAGCTGAGGCTGTGATCTATTGTTTCATCTGCTTCCTTGCAGAGTCTATATTTGGGATCTGTTGTCGATTTTTCAATTATTATCATTATTATTAAAAAGGCACTTAAACTTTGAAGTAAACTTCTGAGCTGCCTCTTTGCCTTTGTTTGCTGTTTTGTCAGTTTCATAGGTTCATTCTGTGTTGTGCTAGAGAAAATTATTCTTTCAGACTAAAGTTCCTAATATCATGTTGAAGGCTTTCATGGCCGGAATTACTGGGTTGTTGTAGGTTTTTTCGGGCTATATGGCCATGGTCTAGAGGCATTCTCTCCTGACGTTTTGCCTGCATCTATGGCAAGAATCCTCAGAGGTACTGAGGTTGCGCTTGTTGCGCTTTAAAAGTAATTCAATGAAGTAACTTCTTTAGCCTCTGGTTCTGGTTCAAAAGCACACTTGCAGTTAGAGGTAGAACAGAACATTTTAACAGTAGTCTATCAGTTCAGGTATGTCTTAAAAGTATTGTCATCAATCATCCACTTGTCTTTTTGCGGAATGTCTGCATGTAGTCATTGGCTTTGCAAAGTCTTAAATTGAACATTTGTTGACGGAAAGGACATGACTGTGGCTTTGTTTCCAGTAGGTCCGCACACTGCTAGCTTGACCCCTGGCGAGAAGAAGAACCGGAACAAACCAGCCAGGCGGAGGAAGAAAGTGTTTGAAACATATATGTCAAAGGAGGACGTCTCAGCAGGTCTGAAACGGAAAACACTCATCCAGGTGCTTGGAGCTTAGCATGTCCTCTTGTATGTGGAAGCAAACCATTCTCATGCAATCCATTGCTATTGGGAGGCCTCTGTTCTGTCTCTCAGAGCCAGTCCCCTTCCCGCGTTGCATTTCTGTCGTGCTTCAGTGTGGCTGCAAGTGTGAAATGGTTGTGTTGGTCGATGAGCTTGGTTACCTGTGGCAAAATGAACTTAGATTTTTTTTAAAATGCATGAACGGTGTCAGGAGGAACCTGCCTCTTTTTTCATCAAAGACAAAGGTGAACCTTTCAAACAATAATAAGATTTCATTTCCTCTTATTGTTGTATAATTGGGATTGTTGTGTCCTGGGCCTCAGCTGTGAGAAACTTTACATAAGGTACATCTCTCTAAACTGCACGAATGACTCCCTTTCCATTCCATCTAAATGGGAAGCCATTTGTCCCATTCAGAGGATAGCAATGGAGTTCATAACAGCAGCGTTGTTAGGCAATACAGACAGGATACTACTGATAGTTATGCAGTGTGGTTTTAAATGGTGGGGAAAATTCCATCATCTGAATTTAACATCTCTACTCTAACATAATACTGATTTTGGAGCAATGGAAGAATTTCTTTCCGTAATAAAAGCAATAATGTGACTCACACGATTGTGCTTGAAATTTCTCTCTGAGTGATACGATGATCGTCCTGAATCAATCCATCAACCTTTTGCTTGTGAAACTCAGTGGTTGGTGTCACAGGACGTCCCAACTCTTGGTTTGTCACACGTCAGATGTTCCCACCTCAAGATCTTTAAACTTTCTCGCCCAACGATACACAGTGCTCACATCAACAAAATCCCCATAAACAGCTTGCATTCTGTGCTGAATCTCCTTTGGGGTGACACCTTCTTCTGTCAAGAATTCAATGACTGCACGTTGCTTAAGTCGCATTGACCCACTGTCTGCGCAGGTTTCCATACTTTGCACTTTAACAACACAACCATTCAATGCTAAGACTTCCCGCCAAAATGGAACTGTAGAGGAGAGTCTACTGAACAAGCCAGTACCTGCCGCATACCAGTACTGCCATCTGTTGAGGAGTTACGAAGATGGAGGCATTACTTTTTATTCAACCCTCGTACGTTCAACTAGTGCTTCTATATGATGCTTGGACTGGTTATACTTTCCAATATGTCAGGGACCAGTACCATATTGGTACCCATTGTCTGTGTCTGTTTTATTTCCTGGGAATTTTTAATAGACTGGCAGTCAGCGAACTGACCTAGGGTTCCCACTTTAAGTAGCACTGTGGTCAGCGGACTGAGCTAGGGTTCCCACTTTAAGTAGCACTGTGGTCAGCGGACTGACCTATGGTTCCCACTTTAAGTAGCACTGTGGTCAGCGAACTGACCTAGGGTTCCCACTTTAAGTAGCACTGTGGTCAGCGGTCTGAGCTAGGGTTCCCACTTTACGTAGCACTGTGTTAGACTACCATTTACCACTCTGCTAGACTACCCCTGCTAACACAAAATCACAAAGTGCCTGTTTATTTTCATGCAAGCCCAGTGCCTTGGGGACCTTCTTGTTTAGGTTCAGCCTGTGTTTGCAAAGCAGACTCCCTTATTGCTCTTCCTCCTGTATCACTTGTGGGTTTTTTCCCCCCTGGACCAGAGCACCTGCTCTTGCCAGCCAAGATAGTGCTGAGGCTGGAGATGCAATCCAAGCACATCTGGAGGGGGCCCTTGGGGAACTTCTGACCTGAGAGATCCCTTCCTTTGTCAAGGCTGTAGTGCTTCGGGAAGGACTCAGATTTGGATCCTGTAAGAGAACTTTTTAAAAAGGATAGATGCTTTTGTAGTCAGGAGGGGGTGAGAATGGGACCTAAAGGCACCTTAACACATGCAGCCTTTCTCCCCTCTTGAATGACTATATCTTCTTAACACATGTGGAAAAAAAGACAACCACCCGCACTGATAAATATAGCTGCTATTGTTTGTGAAGGATTGTAAAATGATGCGGCCTGTGGATGACATCATGAGATTCTGTGGCCAGAGGCCTGGCCCCTGATACACATGTGAGAACAGTTGTTCTTTGCAGATGGGGAGAGCGGCCGGTTCCAGATATGATATCACAGCGTGAAATGCACAACATTGTAAATAGGATTTTCATAGGCACAGATAATAAGGCCCATCTGCTTTCGAAGAGAAGCAAGGGGAGTTCCTCTGGGTTTTTTTTTCCAGAGGAAAAGCACCCATTTTTTTTGGGGTGGTGGTGGTGTTTATGTTTTGATTTATTTCTTATGTGTGTCTTTGTTATATTGGCATCATACTTTCCTCCACTGTAAGGGTCAAGGTGACACATTGAAGCCTGTAGTAAATGCATGAGGTGGAGTTTACAATGTCTTAATTACCGTATATACTCGAGTATAAGCCGGGGTTTTCGGTCCTTTTTTTAGGCTGAAAAAGCCCCCCTTGGCTTATACTTGAGTCAAGGTTATTGATTATTTTACTCTATTATTATTATTATTATTATTATTATTATTACATTTATTATTTATTCTATTTATTGCTATTATTATTATAGTTCATTATTTTACTCTATTATTATTTTGATTACATTTATTATTTTTTCTCTATTTATTATCATTACCACACTTATTTTCACTCTATTATTATTACATTTAATATTTTATTCTATTTATTCTTGTTATTAAATTCATTATTTTACTCTGTTTATTATTATTATGGTTACATTATTTTACTCTATTATTACTATTTTGATTACATTTATTATTTTTCTCTATTTATTATTACATTTATTATTTCACTCTATTATTACATTTATTACTTTATTCTATTTATTCGTGTTATTTATTTATTATTTTACTTTATTATTATTGTTATTATTACATTTATTATTTTACTTTATTGTTGTTGTTACTATTAAATTTATTATTTTACTTTATTATTATTATAGTTACATTTTTTACTCTATTATTACTATTTTGATTACATTTATTATTTTTCTCTATTTATTATTACATTTATTATTTCATTCTATTATTACATTTATTTCATTTATTCTATTTATTCTTGTTATTCATTTATTATTTTCCTTTATTATTATTGTTATTACATTTATTATTTACTTTATTATTATTATTGTTACTATTAAATTTATTATTTTACTTTATTATTATAGTTACATTATTTTACTCTATTATTATTTTGATTACATTTATTATTTTACTCTATTATTATTATATTTATTATTTTATTCTATTTATTGTTGTTATTACATTTATTATTTTACTTTATTATTGTTATTATTACATTTATTATTTTATTCTATTATTATTATTTTGATTACATTTATTATTTTACTCTATTTATTATTATTACATTTATTATTTTATTCTATTGTTGTTATTACATTATTATTTTACTCTATTTATTATTATTACATTTATTACTTTATTATTATTGTTATTATTACATTTATTATTTTACTCTCATTACTGTTATTATTACAGTTCCATTATTTTACTCTATTATTATTATTAGTTTTATTCCATTTATTATTTTACATTATTATTGTTGGAAGGATACGTAAGCACATTTACATTGAAGTAGGTTAGAAAATTGGTTTAATAATAGTTGGGCAGACTTATCTTAAATTACAGTTTTATGTAAATATTCAAAAACATGTAACCTATTGAGGCCTGAATTAATGAAATTTTATTGATATCTATTTTTATTTTGAAATTTCCTAGTAGCTGCTGCATTTCTGACCCTCGACTTATACTTGAGTCAATATGTTTTCCCAGGTTTTGTGGTCAAATTGGGTGCCTCGGTTCATATTCGGGTTGGCTTATACTCGACTATATATGGTATTTGCTTATTTTGTTGACCTTTGGGCAGTAGTAAACCTTATATATCTATGCCACATATACTGTGTTGGCTGTTCCCATACATAATGCCTGTAAACCACACAGTGATCTATCACAATCTTAGCCTAGGTGGGGGCAGATGTACGTTTGTTTCCATGTAAACCTTTGAAAGATTGAGAACAGGAACTGAATGGTGTCTTGGAAGAGAAGTTCTCTTTTCCAGACTGCTTATCACTTCTGGTAGAGGACTATTATCTAGCTGACCAAAATTCTCTCCTTTACAATCCACAGTCAAGCATATTGCAATTAGGAACAGAAACTGAGATTCTGTATTACATAGAATAGTGTAATAGTTCCATATATGGGACGAGGGATAGGGCCTTCTTGGTGGTAGCCCCCTAACTCTGGAACTCACTTCCCAAGGGCATCAGACATGCCCCAACTCTGGCAGTCTTTAGGAGGAGCCTGAAAACGTGGTTGTTCCAGTGTGCCAGAATAAGGAAAACTCTTAACAATATGCCCTCAAATGCACTTTACTACGGATTTAGGACTGACTGCACTCCCTCATCTCTCTTTGAAAAACTCTATCCCAGTTATATCCTACCTTGTTCATGCCCAGCATTATTTTTTAAATTTTTAAATTATTACATTTGACCCGGCCATAGATTTTTGTTTATGTGATTTATATTGTTTTGTATTGTTTTTGTTATTGCTTTTGTTTACTGATGTATTGTGGGCTTGGCCTCATGTAAGCCGCACCGAGTCCCTTGGGGAGATGGTGGCAGGGTATAAATAAAGTATTATTATTATTGGTAACGGCGCTCCATGCAGTCATGCCAGCCACATGACCTTGGAGGTGTCTACGGACAACGCTGGCTCTTCGGCTTAGAAATGGAGATGAGCACCACACCCCAGAATTCAGGGGACTACCTTTACATTTTTATTTTTATTTTTATTTTTATTTTTATTTTTATTTTTATTTTTATTTTTATTTTTATTTTTATTTTTATCTCTCTTCTTGATTTCCCTATCAATTCTTGTTTAGCAGCTCTAGCCTCCCTGGTTCTTCTGCAACTGGTGGAAAGTATGGGGAGGCCAGAAAGCATCTGGTCATGTTTGTATCCAGACACAGAGTAATTGCA